AGTCCGAAGCTTGTAAAGCAGTGAAGGAGTCATTTCCGAGCCTATAAATCATATATATTCTTGATCAGCATCAACAGCTGAATCGATCTTGGCATGTCTGGAAGAAATCGAAATTTTTAAAAATATTTCCATTTTTGCAAAAAATGATAAGGGGTTACATCATTAAAATTGTCAAAAATTGGCAAAAAATTCAATTTTCTAAAATTAAAAACTGAGTATGCAGATTTGTTAGCCCAATAAAAACCAGCATAGGAACGCTTTCCGAATTGAAATCAATGCATTTTTGGCTTAGTTACGGTTTTTTTTCAATTTGATTTTTAGGAAAAATTGGCATAAAAATATAAAAAATAGCTACTCAAAGAATGGGATTATAATTTTAGTCATTTCCATTTACAAACATTTTTCTTTGAGTATGCAGATTTGTTAACGTGATAAAAACTAGCACGGGACAGCTTTCCGAATTAAAATAAACCCTTTTTTCGCTTTGTTATGAATTTTTTAAAATTTGATTTTTAGCAAAAATTGGCGTAAAATAGATAAAATATGGTATTATAACTTTAGTCCGAAGCTTGTAAAGCAGTGAAGGAGTCATTTCCGAGCCTATAAATCATATATATTCTTGATCAGCATCAACAGCTGAATCGATCTTGGCATGTCTGGAAGAAATCGAAATTTTTAAAAATATTTCCATTTTTGCAAAAAATGATAATGATAAATGATACATCATTAAAATTGTCAAAAATTGGCAAAAAATTCAATTTTCTAAAATTAAAAACTGAGTATGCAGATTTGTTAGCCCAATAAAAACCAGCATAGGAACGCTTTCCGAATTGAAATCAATGCATTTTTGGCTTAGTTACGGGTTTTTTTCAATTTGATTTTTAGGAAAAATTGGCATAAAAATATAAAAAATACCTACTCAAAGAATGGGATTATAATTTTAGTCATTTCCATTTACAAACATTTTTCTTTGAGTATGCAGATTTGTTAACGTGATAAAAACTAGCACGGGACAGCTTTCCGAATTAAAATAAACCCTTTTTTCGCTTTGTTATGAATTTTTTAAAATTTGATTTTTAGCTAAAATTGGCGTAAAATAGATAAAATATGGTATTATAACTTTAGTCCGAAGCTTGTAAAGCAGTGAAGGAGTCATTTCCGAGCCTATAAATCATATATATTCTTGATCAGCATCAACAGCTGAATCGATCTTGGCATGTCTGGAAGAAATCGAAATTTTTAAAAATATTTCCATTTTTGCAAAAAATGATAAGGGGTTACATCATTAAAATTGTCAAAAATTGGCAAAAAATTCAATTTTCTAAAATTAAAAACTGAGTATGCAGATTTGTTAGCCCAATAAAAACCAGCATAGGAACGCTTTCCGAATTGAAATCAATGCATTTTTGGCTTAGTTACGGTTTTTTTTCAATTTGATTTTTAGGAAAAATTGGCATAAAAATATAAAAAATAGCTACTCAAAGAATGGGATTATAATTTTAGTCATTTCCATTTACAAACATTTTTCTTTGAGTATGCAGATTTGTTAACGTGATAAAAACTAGCACGGGACAGCTTTCCGAATTAAAATAAACCCTTTTTTCGCTTTGTTATGAATTTTTTAAAATTTGATTTTTAGCAAAAATTGGCGTAAAATAGATAAAATATGGTATTATAACTTTAGTCCGAAGCTTGTAAAGCAGTGAAGGAGTCATTTCCGAGCCTATAAATCATATATATTCTTGATCAGCATCAACAGCTGAATCGATCTTGGCATGTCTGGAAGAAATCGAAATTTTTAAAAATATTTCCATTTTTGCAAAAAATGATAAGGGGTTACATCATTAAAATTGTCAAAAATTGGCAAAAAATTCAATTTTCTAAAATTAAAAACTGAGTATGCAGATTTGTTAGCCCAATAAAAACCAGCATAGGAACGCTTTCCGAATTGAAATCAATGCATTTTTGGCTTAGTTACGGGTTTTTTTCAATTTGATTTTTAGGAAAAATTGGCATAAAAATATAAAAAATACCTACTCAAAGAATGGGATTATAATTTTAGTCATTTCCATTTACAAACATTTTTCTTTGAGTATGCAGATTTGTTAACGTGATAAAAACTAGCACGGGACAGCTTTCCGAATTAAAATAAACCCTTTTTTCGCTTTGTTATGAATTTTTTAAAATTTGATTTTTAGCAAAAATTGGCGTAAAATAGATAAAATATGGTATTATAACTTTAGTCCGAAGCTTGTAAAGCAGTGAAGGAGTCATTTCCGAGCCTATAAATCATATATATTCTTGATCAGCATCAACAGCTGAATCGATCTTGGCATGTCTGGAAGAAATCGAAATTTTTAAAAATATTTCCATTTTTGCAAAAAATGATAAGGGGTTACATCATTAAAATTGTCAAAAATTGGCAAAAAATTCAATTTTCTAAAATTAAAAACTGAGTATGCAGATTTGTTAGCCCAATAAAAACCAGCATAGGAACGCTTTCCGAATTGAAATCAATGCATTTTTGGCTTAGTTACGGGTTTTTTTCAATTTGATTTTTAGGAAAAATTGGCATAAAAATATAAAAAATACCTACTCAAAGAATGGGATTATAATTTTAGTCATTTCCATTTACAAACATTTTTCTTTGAGTATGCAGATTTGTTAACGTGATAAAAACTAGCACGGGACAGCTTTCCGAATTAAAATAAACCCTTTTTTCGCTTTGTTATGAATTTTTTAAAATTTGATTTTTAGCTAAAATTGGCGTAAAATAGATAAAATATGGTATTATAACTTTAGTCCGAAGCTTGTAAAGCAGTGAAGGAGTCATTTCCGAGCCTATAAATCATATATATTCTTGATCAGCATCAACAGCTGAATCGATCTTGGCATGTCTGGAAGAAATCGAAATTTTTAAAAATATTTCCATTTTTGCAAAAAATGATAAGTTGTTACATCATTAAAATTGTCAAAAATTGGCAAAAAATTCAATTTTCTAAAATTAAAAACTGAGTATGCAGATTTATTAGCCCAATACAAACTAGCATAGGAACGCTTTCCGAATTGAAATCAATGCATTTTTGGCTTAGTTACGGGTTTTTTTCAATTTGATTTTTAGGAAAAATTGGCATAAATATATAAAAAATACCTACTCAAAGAATGGGATTATAATTTTAGTCATTTCCATTTACAAACATTTTTCTTTGAGTATGCAGATTTGTTAACGTGATAAAAACTAGCACGGGACAGCTTTCCGAATTAAAATAAACCCTTTTTTCGCTTTGTTATGAATTTTTTAAAATTTGATTTTTAGCAAAAATTGGCATAAAATAGATAAAATATGGTATTATAACTTTAGTCCGAAGCTTGTAAAGCAGTGAAGGAGTCATTTCCGAGCCTATAAATCATATATATTCTTGATCAGCATCAACAGCTGAATCGATCTTGGCATGTCTGGCAGAAATCGAAATTTTTAAAAATATTTCCATTTTTGCAAAAAATGATAAGGGGTTACACCATTAAAATTGTCGAAAATTGGCAAAAAATTCAATTTTCTAAAATGAAAAACTGAGTATGCAGATTTGTTAGCCCAATAAAAACCAGCATAGGAACTCTTTCCGAATTGAAATCAATGCATTTTCGGCTTAGTTACGAGTTTTTTTCAATTTGATTTTTATGAAAAATTGGCATAAAAATATAGATTCAGTGAATGCTTATACGTTAAGATTTGTTATGATGGTTTCCTAATTAGATCCTATAATTTAATTGCAAACTGAAAGGATATATTAACGTTGGATGGCAAATGTTATTTTTCTTTCTTATGTTATTTATACATTCCTACTTCACAAAACGCTCATTTAAGTCTCTCAGCTTTATTTATTTATTTTTACACTAACACTACACGCTTGACACTATTTTTTTTGTTATTGTTTTGCTAAAATGTTATTTTATAAATGTGTTTAGGTCTGCTGTATATTGTATATATACTTACCTGATAGCTCCTGTTTATAGCCTGGTATACCGAAGAAATCAACCGTATCTAATTATACCAAAAGCAAACAAATAAAATTTACTCATACATACTTTATTCATTTATTCCAACCACAAACAACAAGTAGTTATATATTTACAAGATGATTATTATTGCACAGGAATATGTGTTGAGCTTGCAGCCTCTGTGACGCCTTTGGGAATTCAGCGGAAGTCCTCCCAAGTCCTAGACCTGCACCTGCTGCTTCTCCGCCTTGAGTCGCTGCTTCTCCTTGAGCAGGGCATAGCATTCGGGGACCTTGTTGTAGAAGTCACACAGCTTGGACTCCGAGTTGAAGGCCAGATACTTGCCGCAATTGTAGAGACGCGGATGTCCATTGACGCACACAAAGTACTTCTTGCAGGTCTGCGGGTGACGGTAGTAACGAAGCTCTCCCTCCGGGCTGACATCCACTTCGGGAGCAATGCCATCGACGGGATCAGCAGCAGGACAGTTGAAGCCCAAGAAGGCCTCGGCATTGCAATTGGCCACAAGATCTGGCCAATCGCATTGATAGGTCTCCTCATTGAAGGCCAATCCCTCAGGGCACTTGGTCAGACTGGCCACACCATGGGCACAGTTGCGATAGACACCGCACTTGGTCTCATCTCCATTGGGATAGAAACCAAACTGGCGAGGACACTCGTCCGTGCCATTGGCAGGCTGAAGACGTGCCCTTTCCTTGCAGGTGGAATACGGGGCGTATGTGCATTCTCCGGTGGCCTTGGTCCGCTGATGGAAAAGCAGACCATCGGGACACAGTTTGGCCACCGGGACATCATCCTGGCATTCTGTATAGGCATCGCATTGATCGCCAGAAGCGAATCTTCCATTGGGAGTGGGACACTCGGGTGAGGCAATAACTGTAATTATAAAGAATTCAGGGGTTAAAATTGTAGGATATTGTTTCATAAAGAATAACCCAACCCCCTAGTATAAAATATTCCATAGTTTCCTTTTTGTTTCAACGATTTTTTGTTTATTATTTGTGACAAGCAACCAATTTTTGCAATTTCTTTAACTACAGACTAGAAAACTCGAGCAACCTGTTGCCTATATAAATGTCTATATATATGGCATGTTCGTGGTTATTTAGTTCGTGGGACTTAGTTCCTCTTGGCATACTGACGGGCAGCCTTGATCTGGGCTCCCTTCTCTCTAATGGCACTGCTGCAGTTGGGCACATTGTCAATATCATCGCATTGCTTCAGCTCCTGATTAAAGGCCTGATCCTCGCCACAACCAATGCGACGTGGTCGTCCCTCAATGCAGATGAAGTAAACCTGGCAATTGTCCTGCGAGGGATGGAAGGTATAGTCCTCCTCCTGCTCGCCCAGCAACTCCGATTTAGGAGCAGGAGCCGGGCAGCTGAAGCCCAGGAAAGCCTCGGCATCGCAATCCTCGACCTGATCGGGCCAATCGCACTTGTAGGTGGCCGGATTCCAGGCCAGACCCTCGGGGCAGTCGAAGACGAATCCTTTTCCGGCAGCACAGTTCATGAACTGACCGCAGTGGCTAGAGTCACCCATGCGATAGTAACCAAACTGATGGGGGCAATCCTCCGTGGGCTGGGCAGCCTGCAGACGGGCCTGGCCCTGGGTGCACTCCACATCGATGGGATAGCCGCAGGGATAACCGGTGGACTTCTCATTGTACAGCAGACCATCGGGACAGAGCTTCTCCTCGGCCACACCATTCTTGCACTCGATGTAGGCATCGCAGGATCCAGAGACAGGAGCAGTTCCATTGGCCTCCCGGCATGCACCACCGGCAGCGGCGGCTGTAAGATACAACAGATGATGGTTAATGCGGCTTAATCGGAGGCGAGGATGACGAGCTTACCTCTAATGATTTATATGATGAGAAACTGCCTTTATTTTCGTTATCTATTCGATATAGTTTTGCATTTAACTGTGAGAGGGTTGGCTGGTCGTGGGGCAACACCCAACCTGACAATGGCTCTCCTCTCGTTATTACAGACGCGGCTCTTGAAACTTTAAATGAATCGCACGGTTCACACCCCGATTGTTGAACCCACGCGAATTGTACGCGAAATGTTAATTACGTTTTTAGTGCTTTTAATGGGATTACTACAAACTATGATTACTAGTGCCGGGGATTTGTTTATTTTTGTGCTTCTTATGAATAATAATACTAATTGAATGAGGGGTTTTTTGTGTGCTTAATTGTAGTATTAATGGGGAAGAAGTATTTTAAGTTTATTAAATATTATATCAACATAATTTGATACATGTTATTTAAGTTGTACTGATCTTAGGATCTCTAGGTTTTGGTGCCAAAACTTATTAGCCTTAAGATAAAGGAACTGTATTCTAATTTTAGTCAGAACCTTGTAAAAAAATGGTCATATAAAAACATAGATTTATGTGCTTTATAATGCCCAGTATTATATTATTTTATATTTCCTTTAGGAATATTCCAACCAATTCATACTATCCCCTATTTCCTTTAATTTATATTTTTGTGATTGCTATTTTATTTACAATGACTCTGTAGTAAACTAATCAGAGTAATAGTCTGTTTATAAGTATTCCAAAGTATTTTCCCATGCATTTACATAGCTCAAACATTGCACACAAACTCGTAAGTTCTTCACAACTTCCAGCATCTTCTGCTGCTGCTAAAGATGTTGAAGATGTTGAACTGAATTCAAAGAGCTTCCCCTAAAAGAAAAAAAAAACTAAGAGGCTCTTAAAGGTCACAACAACCGGCTGTGCACGCATTGAGATCGATGATGATGTGTCGCCTCCGGCTCGGCTCTGCTCCGTCCCCCCTTTAACATGTCTGACCGCTATCCGCCGGATAAACCCGTTTCTTGGCCACCGAATCAAACAATGCGACATCCAAAGGTTATGCAATATTGATTTTTGTTTCTCCCTCACAGCCTCCGAAGCGTGTGAATTAAATTTTGGGAAATTACTGCATGGCCTGACCTTGAAATATTCAAAGAAATTTCAGAGGGAGGTACTTCTTTACAACTTTAGTGATTCGTTTTCCTTTCCGCATTAATTACGAGCAATGCTCTTTCACATTCGTGAGATTTCCTGGTATTGTGGGGAAATATTTTTGTGAACTGGATGAATATAGCACAATCTCCCTACCGAAAGTTGCCTAATGGCACAATGACGTTGCTCGATCGAGTGAGCTATGTGTGTAATTGAAGATTATGTAAAATAAGTGTGGGAATATATCGGTGTCATTGATGTCATTGTGGGGTTTCTATTCTCCAAGTGGGTGCAGTGTCTACCTTTAATTTTAAAAGCGGCGCCTAACTCAGGTGTAATTAAAGTCTATCAATTAAACTGGTCATTGAAAGGTCTAGACTTTATATTATGGATTTTATATCCCAAAGCTTTTAAGGTTTAATAATGTTATGCCTAACTTTTAATAGAGTCAACAGCTCAAATTGGTCTTAAAGTTGATAATTTATTACTTCACATCTCTAAATAATTCACACTTGAAATAAATAAACCTGTTAAGTAGGTTTATTGCTCAATTTTACACTGTTTTTTGCCAGCAAATACTATATATTTTTGTCACCCCTTGGCATTTCTACACAACTTATATATTATTGCTCCACAACCGTTTTGAATGTGCAAAAGTTTGTGACCAAAGTCTTTTGTTATTGTATAATTTATATAAGGTACTAACCCATTGAGCCAAACATGGCTAGACACAGGAAAGCACTGATAAATGTTTTGGCCATTTTGAGTGTGAGTGTGTATATATCCTTTTGATCCCTGTGGGCACTTAAATTCAAAATAAAGGAGAGCTGCTGACGCGATGCTCTGCCAACGAGCTGACAATTTCGACTGTTTTGCGCTAGAAACGCAACGCAGATATTAACTGGTAAAATGGCAAGCGACAGACTCAGCCGAAGCTTCCACAAGATGAGCTGAGACGAGGCCCGGGAGCTTGTCTCTGATCTTCCTCAAGCGGTTTTTTTTTTGGGGATTCGCAACAGCTTTTGCCTCCGTCTCAGACTCAGACTCAGTCTCAGCCTTAGTCTCCACTGCAATAAAAGCAAACATGTCAATAAATAACGAAGCCAGATCAGATGGCATAAATTTCAGTGGAAAAAAAGCTTCAGATGAGTCAGTTGAAGAGACCAGCAAGTTCTGCTCTCGGTTTCTCAGCTAGCAACTGTCTTAAATATTAATCAAAAGTAACTAAAGTTGTATTTAATTTATGTTAATATGGCAGCCACCTTTTTTCGATTTGCATATTTCGCACTTTTGTTTTCGTCGAACGAAAAAAAATCACCAAAATCAAAAGAAACCAGAAAATCCAACTTAAAGTCAAGGCCGACTGCGCCCCTGAGGGAGGCCGTACCAATCACGACAAATCTGACAATGATCTTGGTTTAGGATTTTCAAAAGAACTCAAAAAGTGTGTTTGAATACCTTAAATTAAGTAATGACGAAAGATGCAGCAAATGTCATGAGCTGTAAAAACAGGTATATTACTTCTTTTTTTTTTTGCAAAATTCTTGGCTTACGCAAATGTTTATAATTTATTCAGTGTTGCTTTGATAGATAAATACACGTTTCTGTTTCATTTTTAAATTAGTTCTCTTTATTTTGACATTTTTATATGTATACTTCCATCACTTGTCTTCGTTTTTAATTTATTATTTCTTTTTGTGTTTGTGTAGCTTTTCCTTAGATTTTAGCTAGTAGTCCATGCTCAGCAGATTTGCACTTAACTCTTACAAAAAATATACATACATGTACGTATATATCTATAGACATATGTATGCGTATTTTCGTATTTGAAAAATATATATTTATATATATCTACCATATATGTCGAAATGCTGCGATCAAAGACAAAGGATAAACTAAGGACTAAGAACTAAAAGGAATTAAACAATTGGCAGGCTGGGCATCCTCATCATTAAGAAGACTCTTTAAGTAGGAATACAAATACTTCAACTGACAGCGACTCGAAGATAGGTATATATATAAAAAATAAACCACTTTGATTTACTATCTATGTACAAATATATAGTTTAATACATTATTCCGTTCCGTTTATGTACATACAAAAATATGCTCTCTTGCAAACACAAAACGACGTTGCCAATTTGAAAAAGGGAAACTCGGGATCCAGCTGGGGTTCATATAAATATTTCAATTCTCATATTTTATATTTCATAATACATATATCATATTCCATATTCTTCGTTTTGTCTAAGGCACTTTTACACTTTATAATTCATACAAATGTACTTCAAATTGTTTATTCTATTCGTGTTTTTGTTATTCCTGCTCTTGGCTACTCTGCTGTAACAACTTTATTTTAGGTTTAGGTTTAGTGATATTTAAGTCTTACTAGGTGAAAGTATAAAGTCAAGGTTCTACGTAAATTTGTTGAGCGAATAAAACTAACTAAGAGTTGGATCAGCCGAAAGGGGGGTTTCTAGCTAAACCAAACCCCATGACAAATAAATACAAATACACCAATTGCTGTGTTGCATGTTGTTCCCAAGTCAATTTTTGTTTTGTGTTTCTGTTTGTGTGTTTAATGTTCAACAACATACGCAAAATCTGCTGTTTCTCAGCTAAGTACTATTCCTAAAACTCGCTTAAACACTACGCTCATACTATATATATATTTATATATCGATAAGGCCTACTCAACAAAAACCTTCAGCATTTCACTCCTCGGAACCGAATCGCGGATTCGATTTCACAAATATGTTTTTAACATTTATATGTGCACAAGTCTGACTTAATATCCAATAACACTAATAAAAAACATATACAAAACTAATGTTACGGTTAGGTTTAATGCATACGGGTCTCTGCCTCTTACTCCTTACTAATTAGGTTTAACATCTCCAAACTCTGCCTTCGCTTTACTAGTACAAATATCACGGTTTACTTGCGTCTCCTGTTTTTTAGTTTCATCGAAATCGCAAGTTTCATTTGCCATAATTGCTTTGCCTGAACAAATCAATTCTCAGAGTGTTGTGTGTGTAAAAATTGTAATATTAATTGTGGTTTGTTGTTGTTGTCGGTTGAAACATGTCTTTAGCCTTCTAATTGTATCATTAACTCTATTACGATTTAACTCTCAAAGTCTATGTAATACGTAGCAATTCAACGCGCTTCCCCCCCAAGTCGAAACTTGTTGATTTGGCCCGGCAAAAAGGTCTAGTCTACGTTTTGGTCTCTGCAGTAAGTCTACATTGCCCAAGGAAAGGAGTGTGTGTGTGTTTTAAACTATGGCAAATATGAAAACACATTAAAAATGGTTAGACTCGGTTTGAGTATTTCGATAAGCAAAAGCATATAAAAACCAACAGATTCAACTCTCGTGAATGGATGTGTATGGAAAGAGAATTCAGCTAACTAAACGATAAACTTAATTTAATGGCTAGGACTAAAAGTAACTGATAATGACTGCCTATGAGTAGTGGAAACTCGGCTCTACACTCGAGAGCCGAGAGCAGAGGAAGGGAAGTAGTGACTTCAAGTTGTCAAAATCATTTGTGTGTTTGATGTATATAATATTTACAGGAAGCTTTTGGAAGTAGTTTCCATCTTGAGTTGGAGAAAGCCTCCTCTTCTAACTACGTCAATGGGAATATCCTGACCAACAGCAGGTCTACCTGACGACGTCACACACACTCATAACCTGATCGCTATCGCGCTAAGCCTAACTAGCTACGTAAGGCTCTATTTAAACCTAGGGCTAAGCTAACTCTCCCTCTATCTTTAGCTAATCGTAAAACACACACACTTGCAGTGCGCATCCAATGCCATTGAGGTGTTCCCTTCGATCTATAGCATTGCAAATAGTAATAGTGTTGTTGGTTGTAGTCTTTTCGCCTGCGCCAAGTCCAAGTCATATGGCTGAGCTCAGCTCGGTCTCAGAATTAGTTACTATATCGCACAGCCCTTGCGCATGCCGTACATGATCTTAAGCTCCGGATAGATGATCTTTCGTATCAGTTGATTCGTTTTCCCCGAGAGCATGGCCCGCCGGTTGTCCTTTTTCAGCACTTTGATGCCAGGCTTGTGCACGAGGAAGGCATTGTCCAGTATATGGAACTCGTAGTCCAAAACGCACAGAGCATAGCCCTAGAAAAAGAAGTTACAAAGTTAACCAATGTTTGCATTTATTGAAGCGTAGACTAACCTGTGGCATCTTGTCGCTTTTGCCCTCCCAACTGAGCCGCTCATCGTAATGCGGATCTGCATGTGTGCCAATATAGATGGGCTCCCAGTGGACATAGTAACCCGTTCGCTTGCCTGTGGAGAGGGAGTATATAGCTTTAGATCTTTGATTTCATTCAGGGATTACTCTCCATACCTATGTGAAACACGCTCAGCTCGTCCGTTTCATTGGCAGACATCCATTCCTTGGACTTGGGCACTCCATGGCAGCTGGCACAGACTCGCTTGTGAAAGGGTATGGCCTTGCCGCTGCGCAGGAACTCCTGCAGCTCGGTTTTGTCATGCGGCACAGGTGAGTTCTCCTCCACCTCGAAGATGGCCAAAGGAAATACTCTAAAAAATAGGATAATGTTTAGTTAGGAATCTATATAGTAAAGATAACAAGATGTACCTGGGCGCCTTGCGTCGCAAATACTGCTCATTGCGGGCTATCATCTCCAGGAATTTCTTGACCAAACCCGGATTGGGATACAGCTCAATGTCGGAGGCCAGTATAAAGTGGGTTAGCGCCGCATCGCGAGCTATGTTGCGTCCCACATTGACTGGATACAGCAGCTTCTTCTGCGCCTTGTACAGGTGACCCGAGCTGACATTAAAGTACGGAGCCGGCAGGGAGCAATTATAGCCGGTTTTGAAGACATCGTGAGGCTTGGGCACCGATTTGGGTATGTGCTTGGTGCCAAAGTAGATGTGGAAGGTGGTATAGGCCCTAACCAGGTGGCTGCCGGGAAGGCATTCACGCAGGTAACGGATGGAGTCCAATGTGGGTTGGAAATCCGTGCCCGGAGCATGCATGGCAATGCTTACGGGGGCATTCCAGCGCTCTAGCAGCGGCACTAGATTGTCCAGAAAGGTGTAATCCGCATGCGTTGTGTACGTAATGGATTCGTGGCACTTGATTTCACCATGCTCTGCTCGGACATAGTTCTGGAGCACCCAGAAGTCGCCGCGTTGCAGCGTCTGCTGGTGATAGTCATGGTCGAAGCAGTTTATTAGCGAACGCACTCGCTCCTCTAGCTCCTTTTCGTCACCGGTGACTATGTATCCCTCCGCTTGGGTGTTGTTCACCTCGGCTGGAAGGCCTATGCCGCCGGCACCAATGTTGCCAATGACCTGAGAGGGATCACTGCCACCGTTGCCACTCTCATTGGCCACGGCTGGTGGAGCTGCGGCGGCGGCATCAGGAGCTTGAGCAGCTGCAGCCGCCGCCCCTACAGCAGCCGCTGGAGAGTCGACGGCATTGACCTGCAGCTTCTCCTCCGATTCGAAGGTTTCGCCCACCTGCTGAAAGTAAAAATTATTATTAATTGTAACGTTTAAAGAAGCAAATTCGAAACTTACATTTGAAGGATTCTTGGGCGTCGGCTGTTGTTGCGCCTGCGACTGTTGCTGCACCTGTGACGCCGCTAGGGCTCCATTCACCTGCAGCATCGCCTGCACTGGCTGTTGATCCTGCAGCATGAATCCTCCGCCGTTTGTAAAGTTATTGCCACCGCCAATCATTAATTGGCTGCCTATATACAAGATTACCGCCACGTTGATGAGGATGCTGCATCGCAGCAGCCAGTTTCGGCGGGTGAACATTTTCTGGCCCAAGGGCTCAAAACGCATGTTGTAGCTGCAATTAAAAAATAAGGAAATTGATTAATTATACATTTATTTATTTATATATATAATATTTAAGGAAATTGGTTATTATTTGAGCCAGAAACTAGCTTGTAAGTAATTCATTTTTAAATTTAACATTTATTTTGCATTCTAAACGTTATCACAAAACGCGACACCTGGCGGCATAGTCCAACAACTCAAGTCTGCTAACATAACGATAGATGGCACTAGTTCAACCACTAAAGTTTTAGAGCTATTGAAGTCACATTTATAATAAAGAAAGGTTTATTCTTTATTTATTTATATATTTTTTAGAATTATTGGGCAGCAAATTTTTGCAAAAAAAAGGGGTTACAAATTGGCAAAAATTTAATTTTTTTTTAAATTTTAAATTGAGTATGCACATTTATTAACCTAATAAAAACTAGCATGGGAAAGGTTTCCGAATTGAAATTAATGCATTTTTGGCTTGATTTTTAAAAATTAGATTTTCGCATAAATATAATCGATTAATATTACATTTTCATATTTCGAGTTTTCTTAAGGCCAACCGAAGACGAACAAGTGAATGATTATCATTTATATATTATATATATATTTCTATTTGCCATTTAATAATCTTAAATACATTAATAATAAAATATTGATACATTAAAAACAAATAAATAAAAAAAAATATTAAAAAAGAAAAAATTAAAATTTGTCTGCGCACACTGTAATTTCACTATTGCACAGTGATTAATGATTTATAATTATTTTAATCACATTGTAAATAACAATCTAAGTAACTAAAATAGTTATCATTATTGTTATAGTATTTTATTTCTTTAGTTTTAGCGTAACTCATATATTTCCCATTTTAAGCTCCTTGATTTTACTTTACAGAATCAGTATCGCCTGGGGTATCATTATCGCGTTTCCATAAATTTATTAACACCATAAATACCATTTAGCTATCAGACGGGTTTTTAAACCAATTTTGTTTGCTTTATTTAGTCATTAAACACTCATTGTCCTCAAATAATTGGGACAAACTTATTATCACAACCGGAACTATATAGTTTTATAGAACTGCTTTATATCTTAATCAGTTTTAATCTGTTTAAATAATTTTCGAGCAGATATTCCATGCATAAAACACTCACTGGAAGTTAAGCAGTTGAACACTTTTCGAACATTTCATTAATAAGCTCTTAAATTAGTAAGTAATTCTTTACTATTATTAATTTAATTGATTTTCTCTTCCGTTCACAAAAAACAACATACACTTAATTTTTGTAGAATTTAACAATTACTTAATGCAATAATTACTATGCTTTTATTTATCTTCTGATTTAAATTTCATTTAGAATCTGTATCTTAAGTTCTTGCCTTTTCGCAGACTCCATTTCCGAGCTGGAAGTCCAAAGTGTTGGGCCCTTCGAGTGAGACTGTTTGAATTAGTAATTCTCTGGCTGATTTTCCCCTACATTTCGAGTAATATTTTTGTTCTATGTCTCCACTTACGTAGAGTGTTTGTTTGCATAGCGTTATCTAATTTCCATGATTAGTTATCATTTAGCGTAATTAACAAAATAAAATGTCGCACAGGAAGTGGCTGCTACGTACCTTCTCCACTGCAAATATATGTGCACATGTTTTTTTGTTTACCCCAGACGCAATTAAATTTTTTATTTTTATTTTTCGGTTGTTAAATGGCATTTAAAAAGTACTAAGCAGCACCCAACAACGAGGTGAGCTGGAGAACGGGTTTCGTCATAAATTTGCGTGCTGTCTCCCGGAATTAAAATTTTTGCAAAAGTGCAATGACTTTCGGCAGCGGAAAAATATCATTAGCATTAGTCAGAGGAGGCAGGGAATATATTAGGGAAATATTTCTTATAAATACTCTGATTTACTGGGAATATTGTTGAAACTCTTTTTGCTTCCACCACCAACCCACTTTCCAGAGAAACTTTCCTCCATTTAAGGCTCAGGCTCAGGCATGAGTATGTAAAATTGTGTGCCAAATTTGTTTAAAAAATCATTTCAAGAATAATGTTTCCACGCACGAAGCATCTTTATAAAGCCTTTTGTTCGTGTCACTTCACATCTTCACAGAGTATCCAATTAGGTTGGAACCTCATCGAAGTGATCGTTAAGTGTACAGATCTTTTTTCTTATAAATACAAAATTCATGGGCAGCTTCTGGAGATGACGGATTCATTCATTAGCGAAATCAGCTCACCTTGGGGGTCCACACGAGCGCCGAATTTTCAAAACTATCCATTGGATTGGGCCGAGTTTGGGTTCATTGCACCATCGACAAGTGGATAGATGGATAGATGGATAGATGGATGGATGGATCGTATGATCCATCCATCCTAGAGGAGGGTAACAATAACAGCCACCGGTTTTGTGTGTTTCTAGGGCATTGCTGGATGATGAATTTGCATAGCCCCCAGCGGCACCAGCAATGGTGGCTCCAAGAGAAGTCCCCCAAGTAATAGTAATCCGCACTCCACGCACACAGGAAACTGTGTGTTCCCGCCAGGGAATAGCAACTACAACCACTTCTCTGGCTGAACAACTGAACACCGAAACAACCGGCGACCCACCGACAAAAACAACAAACAGCAAACAGCATCACAATCTGCGGTCTGGTCGGCGGGCAATTTGATAAAAGCAGAAACAAGAATGAATGCTAAGGTTGCAAAAGTCTTGACCATGAAATACCCTTTACTTAGAGACCAGTAGTTCTTTTAACAGAAAGTCTAAGAGGAAAAGATCTTAGTTTGATATATAAACATTACACTTAATTTTAATATATATACACATATATTATTCATATGATTCAAAACCAGAAGGAAAGCTAACTTCGGGAAGCCAAAGTTTGTAATACTCTTGAAATTTGCAAATTGATCTGGAGACCGCATTTTAAATCACCATAACTCAGTCAAAAATCCATTAAATTCTATTCGGAATCCGTTCCTATGCAAGTTCTAGTAAAGTTAATAAACCTGCATACTCAATTTAAATTTTAGAAAATTGAATTTTTTGACAAATTTTGACAATTTTAATTTATCTTTTTTTGCAAAAATGGGAATATTTAAAAAAATTGAGATTTCTTCCAGACTTGCCTAGATCGACTCAGCTGTTGATGCTGATCGAGAATATATATGATTTATAGGGTCGGAAATGACTCCTTCATTGTGTTTTAAGCTTCTGAATAAAAGGTTATTGAGGTTATTTATGTTTAACGTCGATGCTATTCCTACTATATATCAATTATTTAATATTATATATTATAATAATGATAAATTTCAAGACTACCCCTTGCCTTTTTCAATCCTAGGGTACAAAAAACCTAAAGCCCACTGGAGAAACACTGCTCGGCAACAAGTCTGGGCTTCAGTTCACTTTTACGATCACATTTGGCATCATAATCGTGTCTACCAACTACAGCTTCGACGGCTGACAGTTTGCTATGTTTTTATGATTTTTGTGGGTTCTTTTTCTATATCTATATATACTTTTTGGTGTTTCGTCCCGGCTTTGTTTCTGATTTTGCTGGCTGAGGCGTGTGTGTTGGTTGTGTGACTTGTGGCGGCTATGGTGATTATGCAAAACAGAAAAGCAGAAAAGCAGTCTGACGTACAAAATTTGGAGCAAAACGTGAGAATTTTTACGAGTTTCCAATTTGCCAACTGAAATTGTGACAAAAAAATAAATTAAGACGAAGTGCGACACACGTTTCGTTGGTAACAATGAGCTTGAAACCCACAATGAATGTGGGCAGTCTGCTACATCAAGATTAATCAGTTTTTAAGATCATTTTTTGAGTATGAGATCAGGGGAACTATAGTAAAATTGAGGATTTTAATTGAATATTTATAAATTGATTAAAAATGTTCTTATTAATAAAGTCTGAACCTAAAAATTAACCTCGATTTCAAGCTTATATGCTTACTTGGTTTTGGTATTGTTAAGAATCGAGTTACTTATTGACTTTTTGACTATTACAAGCATTTTGTTAGAGAGCTCCCATATCCATAGCCAAAGTGAAATAATAGCTTCCTATGCCATCCGGGTGCGACTTTTGCCTGGACTCACAGTCATTTGCCATTTGAGTAAACAATTTTGTGCTGCGTCTCATTTTACGACTTTTCTAGTCTACACTCGAAACTATAATTAGCAAGTAATTGTAAATATTTATGGGATAGGTAACACTATAAGTTAAATAGTAAAAAACTTGACGTCTTGTTATATACCGATGAGATCTTTGTGGTTTTATCGATAAATCTGTGTATTGATACGTTTTGCGTTCTTCCATGATAAAGTCAAGTCTCAGTTAATAAGAAATAAATTAGGGATTAAATGAAGGAATTAATTCAAGCCGTGTAGACCTTGAGCTAAAATCAAAAAACATTAATTATTAGGGTAACAAATTTATGAAGATTTCAAAAATTTCAATCTTCTATCAAACCAAAAAACTAAAGAACTTCTAGTAGCACAGTATTCTGTTTTTTTTTTTTTTCTACAAATTTTGTTTCTAGTTCCTCTTAATAAATAATAAATCAAGTTAATTTTTAGTAAGATTTTTCTAAGCGTAACCTTAGCCATCGCAACTCCAAAACATGAACAGATGATGACGGAGGCGACTATGATGATGACGAAGATGATGGCGACGGTCAGGATGGCGATTCCATGGAGCGAAAAATCCATTGAAGAAATGCCAAACTGCAATTGACTTGCATGACCATAAAAATTAAGTTATATACACCAAGGAGAACGCTGCGGCTCGCAACTAGCAACTAAAGCGCAAAAATAAAGTCGGATGAAATTGCTGCTGTAATATATTTTAATAGCACAGAGAGCACAGAGCACCAAGCACAGTATGGCCGGAAAAGTCCGGACTACGATCTCGACCATACTCGTTAGTCCGTTCGGAGGCATCGTTTCGCTGGGTCGTTTGGTCAGTAACCAGTTACCGGTTACCATCGCCTGGCAACAGTGATGGAGCCAGAGCCA